CTCCCCGTGTTCCTCCTCTCCTGACTCAGCAGGAGCCCCTGTACAACCCCATCAAAAGCAAGGAGAGGGACAGGCGGCCTGTGGGACCGCGGAGGGAGTTCCTCCCCTGAACACGACATCAAGAGACCCCCAAAAGGGTCAGCTGCAGCACAGCGTAATCCCACCTCCCAACATCGCTCCTGCCCGCGGGAGGGACCAGGCAGAGGAAAACAGTTCCTAAAGCCCTACTGAAATGACAAGTACATTTGTTATCCTGAGCAAATTCGCCTCGGAGGCTGTGACCACCCTACTGCTGCCTCCTGGGGCCCCACACTTGCACACACACGTGTAGAAATGGAACAGCAGCAAACGTCAGCCCTGCAGATGAGTCTCGAGGAGAGGGACTCCTCCCGGGAGCAATCCAGAGCAAGAATTTAACATCAGCAGGTCAGACTCCTTGGCAGTTAAAGCCTTGGTGCTATTACTGCTTTTTCAGTGCTGTATTTGGAGGGGGAAGCAGTTGTAAAATTGCTCCTTGTCTCACTGCACATGGGAGCACTTCCCTCCCTCTACTCCAGGGACGACATTTTCCTCGTCTTGCATTCTGTCTGACTGAAGCAACACCCCTCCAAATGCTCCCTGCAGCACTGTGGCATCCTGGAAGACGTGGTACTGACACAGCCTCAACACCACATGGTTCCTATCAGCACCCACCAGATCCAGCTCCTCCTGCTACGTTCAGCCACCCCAGCAGGAGAGAGCGTGAGGCAAATACCACCTTCAGCAGCATGTTCTCTTTGCTTTTGATGGATTTCACCTACAAATTTCACATTCTTAGAAGAGCATGAATAATTCAGCATGGGCAACGATGGTGTTTTAAGGAAGCAGCATGAGGCCACAGAACCTGAATTCGTTTAGTTCACCAAAAAAACCCCTCAAGTCCATCTTCCTCATGAGTGAGAAGCATGTCCTTATGTGGCAATATTTGCTCTACTTGATGCAAAACAGCACTGAACTATTCAGCTCAAAAGCCTGACAAGCTCAGGGGCAGAGCAGTCTTTCTTTGTGAGACTCTCCCTTCTTCTCCATCCAGGAAAGCACAGAAACATCACAACGTCCTTATGGCTCATCCTATGAAGCAGTTGTACCAACAGGATTTACCTGCCCGAAGGGGGATTCGAGGGAAGCAACTCTCACAACTCATCCCTCTCCCCAGGGAGAACACCAACACCTGCAGAACATCTGTCCTGCAGCTGAAGCACTGGAGAGCAACACCCCGACTCAACCTGCTCCGAAGCTCCTGCCTCTGTGGGGATGAAGCAGGAAAGGAATCCATGCAGACCTCTAACCCGTGGGGTGGTGGGGATATGGACCTTGCAGCTCAGAAGCTATTGAAAGTCTTTGGGTCTGTACAGAACTCAACACCAGTGTCACTTGCACTTGACCACATCTGCTTCCCCACCACCGTGGCGACACCACTGAGAAGCCATCACACAAAGGCAGCCCAGACAACAGGCAGGATTCCGGCAGCGCTGTCCAGCAAAGGCTCAATCTAAAAAGAGATTCTCCCTTTTTATTGTTTTTGCTTTAATAACTTGGCGTTAACAAAGGCTTGAGGAGAAGTAGCACCACATTCGGGATGCCGAGGTCCTGGGATGAGCGTGTCTGAAAGATAGCAGGCACTTCAATTAAAGATACACAGAAAAGACAACAACTGATTCAAAACCATCACCACGTAAGCTTTTCAGTCAAGCACCAGCTAGTAAATATGTGCATCTTGATGTGATGATTCCTACCAAGGAACCTGAAGTCCAAAGCAGAGAGCTCCAGCAGAAAGGCAGGTGTCACTGCGTGAAGCTGGACACAAGCAAAACCATTCCATTGCAAGCCTTTCTGCTGCACCATCTGGAGACTTTACAGACAGAATCGTTTGGAAAAGACATCATTCAAATCAAAAAGCAATAAGTAAACAAAATGCAGGCAACACCTTTTGCCATGTTTTCATGTGCACCACATCACTTGGTCTTTTTGTCCCTTCCTGCAGCACTGCAAGCATCTCCTCATTGTACTACAATCCTCTTCAAAAAAAAAAAAAAAGACAGAACAATCCAACATATCCCTTTTATTTATTTAAAAAACATGGAAGAAAAGTAATAGGGAAAGTTTTAGCAATAAAAAAGGGATCCTGCTTAAAAATCTATAGAACTTGTCTAGTAACATAAACCAATTTCTTTGGGTTAGAGATCATCCCATACAAAACCCCAAATTCAGGATGCTCACAGTGCAGGAGAGTCTGGCTACAGACCACTTTTCTACTTCAGGTTAGGCCCTTCCCTTAGCTTCATAAATCCCACTGCTACCAGCTTGGATGCAAGTAGAACATGTAGCCCTCACAGTAATGGTAATGGATATGTTTCAGCTTTCAGGCAGAAAAACACTCTGGGCCATGTCAGAACTCTAGGGTCACAGACTTATGGCTGACTCTTTAGAGCAAACTTCGAGCAGACTGCACAGCAGTTATACAAGCAATTAAGAAGAAAAAAATCTCTTTTTTTGGCATTTCTCTATCCACATCTCTAGGGCCTGTGAGGCGAAGGTCGTTCACCTAAGCAGATGCAGCGTACGCCAGTGGGTTCTGCTTGGCTGAGATGAAAAGACTTTCATGCTCCTGCATATAAAGCAATGAATGGCATTTCCAGCTGTCCCTCCAAGGCCTCATCCCCTTCCCATCACAAAACTTGGTTCTTCAGCATCATCTTCCTTCTCTTCCTCCTCCTTGCTGTCGTCTTCATCATCCTCACTGCTGACGTGCTCCTGAGATTGATCAGGCTCTAAAAACAGAAGCAGGATGACCAGGTAACATCCCCACACGCCTTCCTTGTTTGGCATTTCACAACAAAGCAGCCTCAGGTGCTGAGCCAACCTCACCACACTAATTAATCTGCATGGGTGAGATATTCCCACGTGTCTTCTTTGTTAAACATCCCAGACCAAACAGTCCCAGGTTTAATTCTACCGAGCGATGCAAAGCTCAGAATATCAAATTCTCTCTTAGAGAAATAGTCCCTTACCTCCAACGTCACCTCTGTGCCAAGTCCATCACTAAACAACTCCACCTCCTACAGAACACTGCCACACACTGAAGTGACAGCTTATCCCATTCCCAGTCTGACCCCAGCAGGACCTTCCCAGTACTGGGAGTGCTGTTATGGAACGCGGGCACTGGGAGCCACGGGCATGACTCCGTCTCTTCCTACAGTATCCAGGTTTACAGAAACTCCACAAGATGCCATGAATTTTTACAGCCTGTCTGCTACACTGCAAGTACAGGAACTTGCTATGATATGTGTAAGATTAAAGCTGTCTGGCAGAGAAGGCCCTGGGGGTGCTGGTGGAGAGCTGGCTGAGCATGAGCCAGCGTGTGCCCAGGGGGCCAAGGAGGCCAATGGCATCCTGGCCTGGGTCAGAAATGGTGTGACCAGCAGGAGCAGGGGATGGGGACCCTGGAC